TACCAAACTGGACAGAGAAAATCCCACAAGACCTCAACACTACACAAAGAACCACAGGCAACTGAAAAACACTGAGAGCAGGACAGGGGCCCTTCCCCAGGGAAGAACACACCACCGGTTGTCCAGTGGCAAACAGTCAGCCCAGAAAACATACATACCAATAACATTATAAGGACTAAACAGATTATATTAGGAAGATACATACATATGCATAATATACATAATCACATAAATATACATATATGCATGCAATAACAATTGATGAAAAAGAGGCCATGAATTTGAGGGAGAACTAAGGGGGTATATAGGAGGGTTTGGAGGGAGGAAAGAGAAGGGAGAAATGCTGTACTTATAATCTCAATAAATAATAAAGAGAAAAAACTTAACCTCATATATGAGTACTACATCTACATCATTTCCACCCCCACACTACTCTTCCCCATCCCATTTTAAGACAAGCATGACTAATATTAAGAAACACCATCAGGGGCTGGACAGATGGCCCAGTGGTTAAGAGAACCGGTTGCTCTTCCAGAGGACCCAGATTCAATTTCCAGCACCTACATCGAGGCTGGCAACCATCTGTAACTCCAGTTCCAAGGGATATGATGATCTCTTCCAGCCTCTGTGGGCATTGCACACGTCTGAGGCACAGAAATACACACAGGCAGACACACACAAAATAAAATAATAATAATTTTAAAAATTAAAACACTGTCAGCACCCCAAGTACAGTCCTATAGGGGAGGTAAAGTGGAAGCCCGGGCTAGCTAAAGAAAATGACCACTGTAGTGACTGTAGTTATTCCATGCTTTTTAAACCAGAAATAATGAGGTTAAGAACACCTTAGGTTCCATCTGGCTTCCACATGCGCACCAAAGCATGTGATACCTGAGTGGGAGTGGGAGCGCACTCACATGCACGCGCGCACGCGCGCACACACGCACGCACTCACTCACTCACTCACTCACTCACAGACTGACAGGGCTAGGCCAGGGAAAGGATGGAGACAGCACAGCAAGGAAGCTGACAGAACATCTGGTTAATCTAACCACCCAAATTAACAGAAGACACTGAAGACTGGAGAGAATACAGAGGCTCACCCGGTGTTCCACAAGGTAATGGCTATAAAGCTAAAGCCCACGGGTCCTTTCCTCTATGCTTTCCCGGGTTGAGTGAGAGGTATCACTCAGAGCACCAGCCGATAATCTCTAAGGCTTTATATACTGACACAGAAAAATTGCTCATTTTGCTAGGTACGGCCCAATGTGATTTGGGGTTTGTCTATCTATCAAGAAATGTCCTGATGAAGATAATGAACACAGTCATCACGTTAAGCCTGTATTTGCCTGTATGGTTAATGCATTCAAAGCCTTTTCCAGCCGGGCGGTGGTGGCGCACGCCTTTAATCCCAGCACTCGGGAGGCAGAGCCAGGCGGATCTCTGTGAGTTCGAGGCCAGCCTGGTCTACCAAGTGAGTTCCAGGAAAGGCGCAAAGCTACACAAAGAAACCCTGTCTCGAAAAAAACCAAAAAAAAAAAAAAAAAGCCTTTTCCAGGTATTTTCAGTTATGTACAACACAATACTGTTAACTTCACCCTACTGTGCCACAGACCACTAGAACAGGTCTCCTCTCTAACTTGAACCCATTACCCAACCTCTGCCAGTCATCTTTAATAAATCTATTTTTAAGTAAACTCAGTCTCCATTTACTCTGAGTGTACCTCCTGCCACAATGGTGTTCAGCCTGTTTATGTTCTTTTCACAGCTCCAACTCTAGAAATCCCCATGGCTACAGGTATGAGCTCAGAATGAACACAGCCTTCCTCTGCGTAGATTTGTATATTCTGGGTATCTGGCTGGACCAGATTACACCAACCTCCCAAGTACGGGGTAGGTTCATGCTTCCGTGTTAAGTAAAACATGAGACTTATTGTGGTCCCAGAGGATTGGCCTGTGAGAGCACGTGTCTGTTGTTTTCAAGAAACACTAGACAGGAAATGTTTTCAAGGTGTTACTAAAGAAGGTGAACTGTTAATAAAAATAAAACAAGCCGGCTTTGCTTGGCTGAGCAGAGAGATGTTTTTCAAGAATTTCAGTGTGAATCAGCTAATGCCTGACTAAGCAAACATGCATAAGAACAGAGACAACAGCTAACTGTTAGCCAGCACATGCTGTCTTCCCAGAGAACTCACAAGAATATCTTTACCCTGACAGCAGTCTATGCCACAGATATGGCAGCTTCCCTTGTACAAGCTGGGTTCAACAGGTTAGTGACCTTGATTCACAATTTCTCAGACTGAGTTCTTATAGTACTTGTCATTTTAACCAGTGTCTGGGATCTCACGAAATCAGCAGCACATTCCCTATGGGGGGAAAAATGAGTTTGAATATATGTACATGTCCTTTGAGTGTATAATTACTTTCATAGACTGAACCCTGGTCCAAGAATTTGAGCCCGGAATAGAGTTTATAAGATGAAGGAGAAGCTAGTCACGAACATGGTAAACACAGGAACCTGCTCCAATTATCCTCATTAGACTAAATATAAAATAGAATCCAAAGTTCCTTGAAGTTAGAGAGATGGTTCTGTGCCTAAAAGCACTAGATGCACTTGTAAAAGACTCAAGTTTGGTTCCCAGCCCACAACTGCCTATAATTTCAACTCCAGGGGTTTCATCACCTTCTTCTGGCCTGTTGGGTGATCTACATGCACGTCCATGAGTGTGTGTGCATACGTTCATGTGCATATACACATATTAAAAACAAAATATTGTTACATTTTTCCTTTTCACTACTGCCCTAGCTAGATGGAATTCAAGTATTTCAACTTTACCATCTCCTTCCTCTTCTAGGAGTTGTACATAAGTTGACAGGATCTGGTACAGCCTAGATTCATGTATCTCTCATGGCGGTTAAAACCCAGAAAGCATTTTGTAAAATTCTGCTTCACACACATGAATGAACTAAGGAGTAATTACTCTAATAACAACAGATACAACCACTGATACTGTGCACATTAGGTCCAATGTCGAACCTAATTCTTTTGGTTACCTATTTTATCCAAGGGCAAACCTATGGTATGTATTATTGTGGTCTTTACATCGGATACCAAGGCTCAGAAACATTCAGTAACTTGCTCATAGTAAGCTACGTTCTAGAGTCAAAATTTGTCATGATTTCAGACCCAGTCTTCTTAACTACTGCCAGTGTTCCCACTATCAATATTGATATTCACTACTTCTGTGTCTTTAGCATTTACTATGTTACATACACATACTGCATAATAATATGCCTTAATCCCCCCAATAACTCATTACCCATTAGTGGGCGTTTGTTTCCTGTCCTTGATGACTATGGGTAAGTTATTTAACCTGTGAAGTGCTGTTTTTTTGTTCATAAAACATGGATAATCTGATTCCTAAGGCCCCTGTGACAACTCCAGAGATGAAGTTATTTAGCACATTGTGTGTCCTGGATGCAAAACACACGACATGCCTCAAACTGAAGCCCCCTTTGCCTGAATTCATCTTAATTCGTTCAACACTTAATTCGTTCAACTCTCCAAGAGACCATTCATTTGCAAAGCAGCATCTCAGAAATATCCTGCGTCCAAACTCTAATCGAAATATCCCAGGATGTCTTTCAACTCAAGCTGCAAGCAACTCTCTTAAAGGATAAACACCAGTTTTCAAGAGAAAGGATAGGGGTCTCAGAGGAGCAGAGTCTCCAAAGGCCAGATATGGTGTGTGTCTCCAAAGGATGATGCCAATGGCTGGATGTATGAGGTATATTTCTCTAATTAAAAATTAGCACCCCCACTTTAAGGTTGTGGATATATATATATATATATATATATATATATATATATAATCTCAAGTGTACACCAGATGATTTCTTTACACAGGAATACACCCCTGTAACACCACCCAAGACAAACATGGAACATTTCCGGAACCCCATAAGCTCCCCCTCCAACCCAGAGTGATTTAAATCAACAGAGAAAGGACCTCTAAAATCAGGACGGAATGCAGAAAGTGAAGAACTTTCAACGTTAGGCAGGAGGAAGGTTGGATATGAGAAAGGTCATTGGTAAGACAAACCCAGCTTCTGGCTTCTTGCGAATGGTGCATAAAGTGCTTCTGGGCGCTCCTGTTCCTTTTGTTCCTAAGTCCTCAGGAGGACTGCGACACGATCCAAACTTAATCCTATTTTGCATGGGAGGAAACAAACCTGTTCAGGGTTTTGGAGGAGAATGACTCCAACAGCAGCAGAAGAGCGGGCTGTGGGATCAGATCAGCAAATCCATCCACGTGGCAGAGGGACCTGGGAGGGCCAGGCGTCAGGTTACCAGGCAGCGCGGTGACAGCCGGTATAAAAGCCCTGACCGGCTGTCCTGGATGGAACACCAGCAATCAACCTCGCCGCGCGTGCTTTGAATTTCTCAGCGTCTCTCGGGTTTGAAAACCATCTGACTCCGAACACCAGGTATATGAATTGGGAACCCAATTCCCTCCAGGCTGTGAGATCTGAGTGGCCTGAAGCTCTTTGAAAGGAGCCACCGTGTGTGTGTGTGTGTGTGTGTGTGTGTGTGTGTGTGTGTGTGTGTGTGTGTTCTCGTTGACTGGAGTGATATTAGACTTTTGAGGTGTCAGGAAACGGATGCACAAATGCACAAATCAAAGCACCTTTTGGCACCAGGGACAGAGGCTAAAGTTAGAAGACAAGGGGTAGCAGGGCCACTAAGGGAGGGTGGGGAAGACTGCAGCAAGCTGCAAATCTACATGACAGCCGATTGGAAACGGGGGCAGGTGGTGAACGACAGTTTTTCAAACTCTGAAAACAGTTTGCAACGGAGGTGACAGATGCATTTTGCTTCGTAGGGGTCTAGACAGGACGAAGTCGGAAAGAAAAAAAAAAAAAAGAGGAAAGAAATTCCCGCTTTCCTCCAGGCTGCCTCTGACAGGTGTGCGTTTGAATATTGCAGGCAGCCCCAAACAGGATCACCGGGTTCCAAGACCAGCGGCTAGATGTGGTGCCTGGAGCGGCTCCTGCGGAACCGAGACGGGTTTCTCCCCGGGCGCGTCCGCCGCACCAAAGCGCAATCGTCCGCAGCGTGCGGAAACGTGCTCACTCCTGACCGCATCCCAGAGTTCTGCATCCCACCGAGACTGGAGCCTAGCACGACCTGGGCTGCGCTACGTGATGCCTGTGCTGCGGATGCGGAGACGGACGACCACGCGGGTCGCACCGACTGGGATCCGCGCTCACAAGCCGCGCTCTCGCTGCCGCACCTGCCCCGCGCACGCACCGCCTACGGCTTCTGCGCGCTGCTCGAGAGCCCGCACACGCGCCGAAAGGAGTCGCTCTTCCTCGGCCACCCAGGAGTTCCCCGGCCCGGACTTCGCCGCCGCGCGCACACCTACGCAAGTCCGCGCCGCGTCCCGGACGCCCCGCGCCCCGCGCCTCGTAACCTAGATGCCTCCCGGGTCCTGCCGCCCACTCCTGCTCCCCGTAGACACCGCCTCCTGCGCGTCCCCGATGGGCTGCTGAGCCGCGCGCTGCGGGTCCCTCGAGGTCGGGCCGGTGCGCGCCCCGCGCCCAGTGGAGACAAACAGGAGAGCGCCGCCTCCTGCGCGCCCCCGGACCCCACCGGCCCGGATCCCAAGCGCCTGCAAGCCGAGGCTAGCGTGGCTCTGGGCCGCGGGGATTGCACGCTGCACCTGGCCGCCGAGTACTGTCCACGCAGCGCGTGTCTCCGCCTCCGCCTGCTGCGCGCTGAGGGTCCGGCCGCCGCGCTCGAACCCCGAGCCCTGGGCTGCCGCCTCAGCCTGGTGCTGCGGCAGTCGGGCCAGCAGCGCGCCAGCGTTCTCCACCGCAGCCGCAAGGCCGCCCTGGATCAGGACTGCTGCTTTGATGGGCTCTCGGAGGAGCAGCTGCGCCGCCTGGCCGTGCGCATCAAGGTTGAGAGCAAGGGCCGCAGGCTGGAGCGTGGAAGGCGGCTGGGCCAGGGTGAGCTGCTGCTGGGCTCGCTACTGCTGCTCTGAGCCCTGATTCCGTGGGGCCATGGACACTGAAGGTCTCTTGGACCTGAGATGCTCACACTCTTGGCCCTGGGACACTTGGAGACAGTCTTAGCTTTTGGTCCTGGAACACTCACAGCCTCTTGGCTCTTGAACCCTTCAAAGTCGCTTGGCTCTGAGACACTCCCAACTCTTGAACCTTGAGAGTCGCCTTATCCTGGCACACTCACAACCTCTTGGCTCTTGGACATGGATAAGCCATTTGTACAAAATAAACATGTCTTTGTTTTTCTAATCATGGCTTTGTTTCAATCAAATCCTGGCAGAAATGATCCTAGATTATCACAGTAACAGATGTAACTTATTTTTGTGTGGGCAGACACCTTGAAATTTCGGTTGAGCAATGGGGTAGTATTGAGCAGTGTTTCTCACTGTAGACAGAGATTGTATTTCATATGTATCACACACTTGAACTGGAAGATAGTTAATAGACCAGCCTCATTTTATAAGTTCTTTCATTTCATGGTATCTTTAGGGACTTATAGTGTCAGTTACTTCTGAAGCATTAAGATGTTGCATAAGGGCCAGAGTCTACTAAGATTGCTGAGTGGGTAGAAGGTGTTTGCCACTACACCTCATCACCTGAATTAGAATCTAGTGAGGACTGTGAGACCTGCATGATGGAGAGGAAAAAACCCTGCAAGTTTTCCTCTGGCATGACCTCCCCCCTACACAACATAAATAACGTAATTAAATCATTTTTAATAAAAGGCCAGGAAGAAATGACTCCAAGCAGGGAGTCCACTCATATCCTAAGCTCCATCCTGCTAGGAATACAATAAAGAAGTGGAAATCATTTTAATGTTTACTTAATATTTAAGTAATAATTTATAATATTACTTAATATACATATGTTACTTAATATAATGTTACTTAATATTTAAGTAACAGTCAAAGTAGCTTTACAGGTTTTAACTTGTTTCGTTTGGAGAGCAGCCCTAGATAGAAGGCACTACCATCCCCATCGTGTAGATGAGGCATGGAATAAAGAGAAGTCAGGGCATCAGTATTTCACTCACTAAAATGCTTGTCTGGGAATTGGGGTATAGCTCAGTTGGTACAGTGCTTCCCTAGCACGCACAACACCCCAGGTTCTATCCCCAGAGCTGCACAAACCTTAGGTCCTATTATTAACTCATACCTGTAATCTCAATACTGGGAGGTGGAAGCAGATGGATGAGAAGTTCAAGGCCATAGAGAGTTACAAGCCAGCATAAGCTACATGAGACCCTGCATCAAAAAATAAACAAAATGCTCATCCTCTGAATGTGATGAGATTTTGCAACTTGTCTGAACATGGCCCCGAGTTTGAAATCATATTCCTTACTTCCATCAGGGAAAGCAGACTGGTGGAAATAGTGATGTGTGAATGAATGAATGTTAATGACATCAGTCTGAGGCTGAGGTGAACGCTAACCTGCCTCAGACCCACAGGGTCCCGAACCCCAATTTCACTAACTCAGGTCGAGCTAACATGCCAGGGCCAGCAGTCTGGAGAGCACACAGAACAGTGTTCTACCTCTGGCTTCTCATAAGCTTTCCTGTGTCTTGAGAATGAGTTTCTTTCATCCCTCGTACTCCCTACCCAGCTGGTTTACGTTTTCCTTCCGTGTGCATGTAAGTGGAAAACATATCCTAAGCAAGGGCAGAAGACATTAAAACATACAATTCAGTGTAAACTGTGGCTACATTATCAAACCGGACTTAGAAATGGTTTCTGTTGCCACTCAACTTGGCAGTTTTAACCATGGGTGCTCGTGAAGACTGATAGAGGTTACTATGGTGGGGATTTACAACAGCAACCATTGGAAAGTTATGGACACAGTCTAAAGCACCTGCTTCCGAAACCTTGCTATTGCGGGCCACCTGAGCGATGGCATAACAGTAGATCTTGTCTGACTCATGCCCTTTTCCCCTATTTACAATATTCTCACCCTTCAAGCCAATTGTTTTGGTGGTGGTGGCGGTGGCGGTGGTAGCGGTGCATTTTGTTTTTTGTTTTGTTTTGTTTTGTTTGGTTTAGGTTTGTTTTTTTGTTTGGTTGATTGGTTGGTTTTTGGTTTTTCAAAATAGTGTTTCTCTGTGTAACCCTGGATGTTACCCTAGAACTCACTCCGTAGAACAGGCTGGCCTCAAACTCAACAGAGATCTGCCTGCCTCTGCCTCCACAGTGCTGGAATTGAAGGCATGCGCCACCACTGCCCGACTCCAGCTGTTTTTTTTAACGCATAAACTTTTTTTGTGACTTTAGAGGTCTCCTAAGATGAAAAGTGAATACAACTTATCCCCGTGACATGTTGCTGTGGTTTCTGTTTTCTTTGCATCATTAGTCAAGGTATAGCCAGTCCTTATTCTAGATAGCACCACCGTCTCTGTCCTTGCTCGATTAGAAGCATGTCACTTATTAAGTAATTTTCCCCACAAAAGGTAAATGAATGTATTTGAAGGTCCTCAATTCTCCAAGAAATCCTGGTGGGTACTTCTAAACCAAAATCTCCATCAATTAAAGTTATGGTTGACCGAAAGTCCAAGACTGTATTCAGAAGGATTTCTAAAAGACTGTAATATAATTTTTAAAAATAAATAACTGAACTATGTAATTCCAGTTTGAAAAAAACTTTCAAGTATCATTTTGTGCAACTGTGTAATGTCTTAAGAGTGGATCAGAATGGCAAATAGTAGATTGCTTCAAATCACATTCCTGTAAGAGTTAAAACCAAAACTAATTCTTTTGACTTTTAATCTAGAGAACTCCCACACCACTAATTCCAAAAATGGAAATAGTTTTCACATACATTTATTTCACATCATTGAATTAATCTGAATTACATTTAACAAATCAGATTTGTAATATATATTTTTGCTATACCATCAGCTTTTTCTTGAAGTTAAGCTTGGTTTGTGCTTGCTGCCCTCTAGTGGAGTGCTCCAGGGTTTGCTTGTGGCTCTCACCTTGTTAGACCATCTCAGGTAATCCCAAATTCGATTTTCTTTTCCTTCCTTCCTTCCTTCCTTCCTTCCTTCCTTCCTTCCTTCCTTCCTTCCTTCCTTTCTTTCTTTTTTAATAGTGTCTCCTGTAGTCCAGTCTGGCCATCTCAAACTAGTTGTGTAGCCAAGGATAACTTTGAACTTCTGATTCTCCTACCTCCACCTCCCAAGTACTGGAATTATGGGCATTTGTCACCACAGTTGGCTCAGAACTGGATGTTCTTGAAGTTGTTTATTAATATCAGATTGTAGTAAAAATCCCCAAATAAAAACAACTAAAAATGAATGATAGAGAAGGTATTAAAAAAACCAGCTTTCAAATGAAAAAGGGAGAGCTCAATGGTGCACTTATATTATCTCGGCCCTCAGATGGCAGAATCCCGAAAATCCCCACAAGTTCAAGTCCAGCTTGGGCTACATAGCAAGAACCTGATTTAAAAGGAGAGGGGAGAGGGAGGGGAAAAGAGAGGGAGGGAGGGAGGGAGGGAGAGAGAGAGAGAGAGAGAGAGAGAGAGAGAGA